TTGTGCAGGAGAAGCCTCACGCAGCCCTACTAGCGCTCACCAAAGTGGACACTCCCTCTTGTGGCACAACTGGGAAATTGCACTTTTAAAACTACTACTCCCATGTCTTGTAAAGATTCATTAACATTTGACCTTTTTCACTGGCTAATACACAAAACATTTTAACAGTTGTGACTATACATTTGTAGGCGTCACAGAAACATTTTGAATGAATTTAAAGGAGTAAATATGTTGATTACACCAGAATACAATGAAAACAATACAATTAATGTTACATAATTACATTCATCCTGAGTTTTATATCGGAGGTGAGAAGATATTAAAGTCTGTTATTTACTTGCTAATTAAAGAAAATGTAAAGAACAAGATATTAGAATCAGAGTGAGTTTTATTATAAGAAGGTTTTCAATACAAGGAATTTGCCTTGTTATCTTTGTACATAATAAACATAAAGTGCTAAAAACTATAAATAAAGGAAACACGGACTTCAAGTCAAAAAGCACAAAAATAAAAATATTATAAAGAGAAAAATATACAATATGACTGTTATATATATTTTTATTTTAGCTCTTTGGTTGTTTGAACTTCTTTAATGCAGGACGAGGCTGTTTATCAGAGGTTCTGTGAATATAGTTTGTGTTCAGGTCTTCAAAGTCAAATCAAACAAAAATGCTGAGATATGTCTACTGTATTTATTTTCTAAAGTTTTCTAACACCCCATAAAACCAAGAAGGCCTCCCGACCTACTAAATAACTAAAGAATACATAATACAGACAGAGAATTGTATAAAAAGTTCCCTAAAATATCAGGAAAACTGATCTCTGATCAATATTCAAAGGAAATAATCTGCTCAAACTTCATCCAAATCTCTGGTTTTACACAAACTTGCTGCAGTTATTATTGTGCCTTGAAAAGCACAATACTACTCTTCCCCATACTTATAATATTTTATTCTTCCGTACGTTTTTCGGCGCGCTTCTCCTCCTGCAGTTTTGGTGCACGTACACAAAAAAGGTATCAAAACGTGCGGCTCGGTGAGGACATTAGTGCTATGACTTTTCTAAGCGTTTCGCCAAACTGTTTGCCGATAAATCCCCAAAAACCGGTCCAAAAAATGAATGGGTGTGTATTGCGAGAATCTCCACCTGCCAGAGTGCGTGACATCATCACTAGAGTGTAGGGAGAGAGAAATATTTGACAAAAAATAAATTGGTAAACTGCTCTCAAGGCCACAAATGTCACTCTACAGACATAATTTATAGATAGAAACGTAGGTAAATCCGTTGGGGTCGCAGTGATACTACTGCTGAAGCTGTCAGACAAATAGTTTTGGCGGGAGACGCACTGATGCGCCAGCAACGCCCTCTCACGGCCCCATCTACTCCCATGTTAAAATGTAGAGGAGAAATGTTTAAAGGAGCTCGTTGAACCTCTCCTTTCTCAATCTCCCCAGGTCACATTTTTTAACTTTAGCCACTGAAACTCGGCAGTCCTATAGTCAACAAGATGACGACGCTCACGGTCTTTTTGGTTTCCGTCGTTCCTGGCCATGAGTTTGAGGGGATTCATTTTAAATGTTTCTGTCTCTCTCAAAAGTCTCAAGTGCTGTGGTCTCCCCTGGTTGCCACGACAACAAAGGCCTGCCTGTGAACACACACACACACACACACACACACACACACACACACACACACACAGCGAGCTACAGAGGAGTATTAAGGTTTTACCAGAGCCCGTCTACAGAGAGCCTGGCCTCTCTCTATTAAGTCCCATTGTACCGAATACTGGTTGCAGTTCCAGCAGAGGTCCACTGGGGGCGCTCTCCCATCAGTGCAGAATGAATGGGAGCAGATGGAGCTAGACGGCTACACCTGATTGTGGTTGAGAAATCTCAGATCTGATTGTAGTTTTTGCAAGTTCAACATGGGTTATAGGTCGAAAGCTGAATGAACGAGTTCTGATGTCCTTTAGATTTCTTACAGGACGAGTTGTTGTTGCCCATAACGCGCTAGCATTCTGCTAATGAACGCTGATTGGTCAGTGAAGGACTGATTACGACCAGAGATCCCGCTCGATGGCATCGTGGCATCCGAACCGGGACCACAATGTTAAGGCAGATTTTTAACAGCAACTTTTTTTGTGTTGCTGGTACTTTTATCTGCCGATCGTTACGTCTGTGTCGTCGATGCCTCGAGAGAAAAGGAAGCACAAAGAGACTCGAGGATCGCCGTAAAACGGTATCTCTGGCCGTACGATGTGTGTGACGTCACTGACATTTTAAAAGACTTTTTAAAGAAAATAAGTGACTCTAACAAATCTAACACCCAGCAATGTGTAATTTCTTTGCCTTTCGAATGCAACATTCAAATTACTAGACAAACAATGATATCCTGAGAAAAGTGGATTTTGAGGGTATAGCTCCATAGAGCTCCATTCATTCTGCACTCATCCTGTGAGCGCCCTCACATGGAGCCAGAGGGGAACTGCAACAGTTCAGAACCCAGAAGTTTACAGAGAGTGGAAGTTCTCTCATTATTAGACGTTCTCTGGCATTAATAAGCTAGTGTTAGCTGGCTGGCTAAAGATAATTAGAAGGTATTAGAAGGCTGGCTAGCACATAACTGTAGAAACACAAGAAAAAAAACTCATCATATCTCAACAGTCTTCTGGTCAATTCAGAATCAATATAATACATAAATACAAACTTTTTGGCCGACTTTGTCGCATCAACTCGTGACCAGCCTCACTATTTCAGTGGGAGAAGACCGTGGCAATAGATGGAAAAAACAAGATTTGTCATTAAAATACGTGGTTGTTAGTGGATCACGCGGACGCCGAATTAAATATGTACTGTAAACTACTCGGCAGTGTCAGTAATGTATGGGCCAGAGTCACGGGCCAGAGCAAGGCACAATCAAACTTTCTTTAGGAATTTTCTAGTTGTGTTCACTGTTTGGGTTCATTGTTCAGTTTATCAGCTGTTCTCTGCTGTTATTGTTATTATTCAATATAATATTATAATATATAATATGAAATAGGAAAGTGCAGTCCTCCATATATTCACATGTCAGTGTACATGTTGGTCATACCTGTCTTGGGGGCTGATTCTGGGGGGCGTGGATAAGCCATTTTCCAATGCCCATCTATGGGACCAAGACAATACCTTAGCCTTCGCCATGACTGAATTTTGTGCAAAGTTTCATGAGTTTTAAGGCATGTTTAGTCCCCCAAAGTGTTCAAATGTTAACGCAAAAGCTGCGCCATGGCAACAACGTTCCACGCAAATCCTTAACATTCATAAGATGTCATCGGCATCGTCCTAAGGGACCGCTGACAGAATTTCAGCTGGATCTGGTCAATCTGCGGGAAGATATAAATAAAAGTATAAAAATTTCATTTCCTTTCACCACTAGGTGGCGCTGTCACTATGGATTTATAAGTAGATTTCAGCTGGATCTGATCATTCTGCGAGGAGTAGAACATGAAAGTATGAAACGTGATACCTCCTGTTGGCACTAGGTGGGGCTCTCACTATATCTGAATATTATCACATAGACGTGTTCAGGGCGGGACTCTTATCAAACACGTGAAGTTTCGTTGAGATTGGATCATGTACGCAGAAGTTCAAATCCCTCTTTCATGGCGAAGGTTCAAAATTTGACGCCACGCGCACAGTTCACTAGAATATTCACTTCAAATGTCTCTTCTGTTCATTTTAAACAACATCAGTAAACATCCCAGTTTGTCACAGAACAAAAGCAACTGAGCTGATGCTCGCCACCCGCCTCCTCTTCAGATGGCTGACAAAGGAAGTGCTGGCAGAATCAGAGAGCTTAAAAGGGGTTGGGTCGATAATCGGGCTACACCATGTTGGCTGGAATCATGGGGAGACGCTGTGCTTTCTCCTTGGTGAGTTCAGTTATTTCTGATTATTATACTTTTTGATGTTTAGTATTTTAAGTATTTTCCTTAGTTCATATTTGGCTGCATTATCTGGATATTATTTGAGGTTATTATGGTTTGTTTAAATGTTGTGTTTTAGTCTATTCCCCCTGTGTGTCAGAGTGGCCTGATCAGCCACTATTTAAGTTTCCCCAATGTCTCAGTTTAGTTAGGGTCATCTAATGTACCACACTCCAGTTCGGTAGGTGGCAATGCGCCTATAAGCTTGATGCCTGCCGCCAAACAAATCTAAAAGAAAGAAAGAAGAAAAGTTTAGTTAGGTCAGTTTGGTTGGTTGGTTTAGTATGTTCAGTTTGTTCAGTTAATGTGGCCTGAGTTAAGTTCTGTTTAGTTGACCTCTTTTATGGGCCCAGAACATTTTGTATATTTTGTAAATTGATTATTTTTCGTGAATAAAATTACTTTTTGTGAACATTTACCCTTGACTCCTCATGCCTGCCAGCTCAGTCCCTGACAGAGACACACCCACACCTGGTGCACTCAGTCTGCTGCCTTCAGGCTGGGAGACACACCCACACCTGATGCACTCAGGCAGGGAGGGGCGCGGCCTGCAGCTCAACTCAACACCCACTACAACCCAGTTTGCTCCATCTGTCGGTCGCTGACAATAAGTAGATCTATACAGAACACAATCAGGTACATTCAATATTTACTGAATAGAATATGTTCTATAAAATCTTAATATGAGTCAATATTTACTACAAGAAATTGCAAATTATATTTCTATGAAAAAATAAGAGAATACAACATTTAGCTTTGGCTCTGCTGCCTGTAAATGAGTCCAGTCCTCACAATATTATACAATTAGCTTTGGCTCAATGTACATGTGAGCCTGTGGCTGGAAGTCTCACACTAACTGCATCAAACTGAGAATTTTATGGAACAATTATAGTACCAATATAATACGTAATATTATAGTGAATTATATTTGTCATAAAGACTGATACTCTTTTGCATTCAAAGATGAATTAAATACTATTATTCATAATGGAAATGAGCTGACCAGAGCTTTATAGATGAAATCAAGTGAAACAAGTTCTGTGCTAAAAGTCATTGTTTTATTAAATCTGTCCACACGTGTCTTCAGTGCAGTTTAGAGAGTGCTAAAACAAGAATAAACAACATATCAATCAGTTTTATATCCAATAATCAATTATAAATATATACAAGGAAACAACTAAATCAATCAGATTAATCAGTTGTAATTTCACAGAATGCAATGCTCCGTGGTCGAACGGCGTTTATGTTAAAGGACATTGTGTGTGTGTGTGTGTGTGTGTGTGTGTGTGTCTGCTGGTTGGACCCTGCTTCAGCTCTGTGTGACAGAAACGACACATTGTTCCTCGAGGCTGAGGGTCCGGCAGTTTCCTCTTCTTTTCCGCTCTGTCTTCCACTCTGCGCTCGGTTAGCTGAAGTTCACGCTGAAAGAACTCAGTTTGTTGGGATGAGCAACCTCTGTCACCAGAACCTGCAGCTCAGGAGGAATGGTTACAGGTCTCTTCACTGTCGGCACGGTGGGACTACAAGGACAGAACAACAACCGGATGACAAAAGCATTCATCAGTAAATGTATGAAGTATTACTAATATTTCCACATGGCATAAATAACACACAAACAGATGAAACAGTACAGCAAACGTCACGTTTAAGAACACTGTTTGAGACTAAAGTGATTCTGAATGTTCAGTCAGTAGAAGAAAGAATGTACTTACAACACTGTGCCAGTTCCTTGGTGGGTGATATGCTCTTCATCGCTCTCTCCAGCTCCTCATCATCATCATCCATCACTGTGACACAAACATAAAGAATTACAGTGCTGTAAAAATGTATTTCTACATTAGACATACATTGTTGTGGTAAAAAGCATATGTTACATGTGATGAAGAAGACCTACTGGTGTCTTCATCAGGTGCACTTGAGGCAGGAACTGGTGAAGAGGAGACAGAGGCCGACTGTTTCCTTATCAGCTACTGCTGCAGTCTGTACATCTGAGTCCCTGAAAACACTTAGTTCTCATGATGAAGGCAGCGTAGCCGTCAGCCCTCCTGTCCCACACCTCCCTCCAGCTGCTCTCTGGTCCACAGCCAAAGCCAACCAGCTGCTCGTCCTCTGAGGCTGCTCGAGCTTTGGGTTTTAATTGTATTTCATCATAGCTGCGGGCAGAACCCACAAAAGATGCCATGCTGGCCTCGCTGTGCCCCTCAGTCATGTTCACTCTGGCAGCCTCTTCTTTCTGGGTGTGTTGATGAGGTAGATTGTAAAGAGTACATCATTGTCCAACAGCCACCTGAAGTATTTCCCCTTGTATTTGCTAAACTGCAAGATGTAATCCCCCCAGCACCTCTGTGTTGTCTGTGGCACCCCCTCCTCTCTGAAGGACCACAGTCAGGGCATTTAGTTTAACTGTGTCCTCCTTTAGAGCTGCAGACTCGTCCTGCAGAGAAGGGTTGTCCTAAAGAAGCCATGAGCAAGGTTCCAGTGGTGAAGCAGAAGACGTCACAAAGGACATACAAGAGAAAGAAAAAGGAAGAAACGTATTCAGATGAAGACAAGAAGAGAACAGGAAGCGAAAACTGTGATGGCACAAGCCTGAAAAATGTGTCCGTAATGAAGCTGCAAAAAAAGACAAATGGTGCTGCTGTAGCTAAAGCAATACGTTTTCCTTTGAAGTCAAAGGAACGAAAATCACATTTTGACCTCATTAGAAATAAAGGGGACCGTGCTCATAACAACAAGGTCCTAAAAACTGGTAGTGGCACACTGATCCCAAGTCAGCAAACTGCAAAACCAGTGAAAGCAAGTGACTACATGCACTGTATAAACTGTGAGGCTTTGCTCAAAAGAAAATCATTGTGGAGGCACATGTCCAGGTGCAGGCTTTCACTTACATGTAGCACGTCAAAGCCAGGTAGAAGTTGGATCCAGGCGCTGTGTGCATATGCACAGCCTGTCCCAGATGGCGTTAGCCGAAAAGTTTGGGAGCTAACAAATGCCATGCATCAAGATGAAGTCACAAACATCATCAAAAAAGAGAGAACCATTTTGAAACTTGGAGAACATTTGTATTCCAAGCATGGACATGACAAAACCAAACATGACTACATTAGACAAAAAATGCAGGAAATCGGGCGACTAGTTCAGCAGTCACGGACAGGTGGTAGACTGAAACGAATTAAGGACTTCTATGTGCCTTCAAACTTTAACTTTGTGGTTGAAGCAGTAAAAGCTGTGGCTGGCTTTGATGAGGAGAAAAACACCTACAAAACTCCATCGCTGGCTCTGAAGCTGGGTCATAGTCTCAAGAAGATTGCAGATATTCTTGAGTGTGAGGCGCAGATGGCAGACTCTGACAATGAGGAATTTCTAAACAACCTGAACAGGAGCAGGGGTCTTTTTGAGAAAAAGTGGGATGTGTGTGTGTCATCACGTGCCCTACAAACTCTGAAAGAGGTGAAACTCCTCAGCTCCTTCCTTTCACTGAGGATGTCAAGAACATGCACATGTACCTCCAAAAGTGCAGAGAAGAATACCAAAGGAATCTGAAGAATAACCCAAGCAAGAAGAACTGGACCAAGCTGGCCAGTGTAACGCTTGCTGAGGTGATCCTGTTTAACCGCAGAAGAGAAGGTGAAGTATCAAAGATGCCACTTAGTACATTTACCCTGAGAGTCAGTTCAGAACTTCATTCAGATGTGGCACTAGGTCTTTCAGAGTTGGAGCAAAAGCTTTGCCAACATTTTCAACGGATTGAAATCAGAGGGAAAAGAAACAGGAAGGTTCCGATCCTTCTAACACCAGACATGCTGTCATCAATGGAGGCCTTGGTTGTACATCGGCGGACCTGTGGTGTGCCTGATGACAATCCTTATTTCTTTGCCAGAGCTGAAGCAGAGAGCCACTTAAGGGGATGAGATGCCATCAGACAGATGGCAAAGGAATGTGGGGCCAAGCATCCTGAAACTCTGTCCTCAACCAAGTTGAGAAGGCAGGTCTCCACGCTGTCCACAGTTCTCAACCTGAAGGATAATGAGGTGGACACACTGGCACATTTTCTTGGCCATGACATACGGGTACACAGACAGTACTACAGACTACCTGAAGGGACACTGGAGTTGGCTAAAGTCAGTAAAGTGTTGATTGGGTTGACAGGGCCGGCTGTCAGACTACAAGGGAATGAGCTTGGATCAAATCCAGATTGATCCCAGTGGTAAAGAAAACTTACTCTTAACATCTTATTTAGTGTCATTTCTGCTTAAACATCCTTTTCTCATATGATATTTTGTTTGGTTTTCCTGGTGTTCAGAACAGGTATTAGAAGCTGTGGACAGTGACCTGTCAGAGACAGAGATGGGCGGGTACTCATCTTTTTGCTCATCAGGTGGGTTACACATCAGTCGTGTGCATTAAAGGGGAACTTCGGCAGATTTTTACTCTACTCTTGATCACGAGAGGTCACCGCGTACTGTCGATAGGAAAAAGAACGACCAAAACCGGTGCTAGCAAACTGGAGTTCCTGCAGCTAATGGCCAGAGCTCCCAGTTAGTTATAATACACTTCTTGGGGGCATATCCTAAAGAGTGCCTTTTGCTCCTCTTAACAGACACAAAATGCAATTAAAATGTCTATGCATGTTGCACAGACATTTTAATCATGTTGATCAGGGCCCTTACGTGACAACAACATGCCTTTTCAACTCATACGTTGTGCAGAAACTGTACAAAACAGTACTGTCGCCTACCTGTTTTTCCCCCGCTCGCTTCACCGAAAGCCCAGAATAATCGATCACGGCCTTCGCAACGAAAAAAAGTTTATTTCCCCCTCAAAAATGTCCATGTCTTCACACACTACTCTCCGATTTGCACACTTCCTGCAACAATCTCTTCTTTTGCGTTTCCCTCCAACAAGTAAAATCCCACGGGACTTCAGCGCGAGACTGCTCTCACAGGTAACTGACTTTTGTATTAACAATAATAATAATACTAATAATAGTAATCACCATCATTCATTATTTCGCAGGATCCTCAAGACATAAGAGAAAACAGAAACCTGGTGAGACTGACGGTGATGACGGTGACTCTAAACGAGGTATTTCAAACACTGTGTGCATAACTATTACTTTTAGATTTACTTAGTTACATTAATCTTTAGAAAAAGGGCAGAAAAATCTGGTTACTGACCAACTGCAGGTAACATTAGTGAGTGACGGCACCTCTCTCTTCACAGCAGGAGATAACCTGGTGACTTGTTGTAAATGCATTCATTGGTTAGTCTTGTTAGTCTGTTGTCAGCCAGTCAGTGCAGACAGCACAACACTTAATACATTAATCTGTAATCCTGGAGATTCCCAGTTTATTCTACAATATGAAATACATAAAAAGTTGGGTAATGCACCAGTGTGTACAAATAATAATGAGAAAAAAGGTTACAAATAGTTTTTTTCTAAGACTTTGTATTGATATCAAAATATCACTTTTCAAATCAAATGAAATTTAATTTATATAACGCCAAATTACAATGAAGTTACCTCAAGCCATTTTCCATATAGAGCAGGTTGAGACCAAATTCTTTGGCATTCCAAAAATTCCCACCATGAGCTGCACTTGGTGACAGTGGCAAGGAAAAACTGAAACTGAATAACTGAACAGTTGATGAATTGCCAATTGAATCGCTTGTCTCCACTCCTGATTTTCTTTTTTTCTTTTCTTTCATAGAAACCTCAAAGAAGAGGAGCTGGTCAGTTGGTGAAGTCCGGAAGTCCATGAAGTACCAGGAAAATCGGACTGCAATGCCTGCATTAAGGCTTCACCAGAGGCACTGAAAAATAGAAGCTGGACTGCGGTGAAGTTCTGTGTTAAAAACCGGATCACTGCCATTCAGCGTGAAAGTGCAAAAAGAATTTACTGAAAAACAAAGAGCACTTGAATGTTTTGTTCCGCACATTCTCTGATTGTGCATGTTTAGAAGATCCATGTGCTGCTCTGAATGCATTCTTGTTCATGTATTCAGTACTTCTATACCTACCTGTACACACCAAGTGGAGGATAAGTGACCAGATGTTGGCTGTCACTATGTTTATGCCTGAGTAACATGGTTAATAAAATCATGTAAGATTAACTTCAAAAAGTCTTGTGTGAGATAACATTTACTTAAAGTTAAGTAGGGCTGCTGTTTTTTTCACTTCTGTCAGTATTGATTATTGAAGGCCAGAATGAGCTTTTCTCTACCTCTGTGAGGCTTATAGACATGATGTGGGTGGGGGGTGGGGGTTGGAGGACCAATGACTGGTCCCCATTGGAGCCAAAATTCAGGTTTAAAATTTATGTGAGAGGTTTTGATGCTTTAAGTCATTTTCATCCTCACAGGAATTTTAAAAAAAATTAGCAGTTAAAACCAAGTCTCTAGACCACTCAGAAAGGGTGGATCCCACAAGGACCCTTCCAGTCAGTGGACCTCACAGGGTAATAAAAACGTGTGTGTGTGTGTGTGTGTGTGTGTGTGTGTGTGTGTGTGTGTGTGAAATGGTAAAAATTGTGCTTTTTCTCTGCTCTGTCTCCCTTTTTTTACCACACGCACTCTTCCCCAGTGCCGGCCCGTGGCACAGGCAGTATAGGCAAACGTTAAGGGCGCCATCCATCTAGGGGGCGCCACAATGGGAGAAGAAAAAAAACAAAAGGTGCAACTTTTAATATTTTGACACTAGAACAAGTTGGTTCTATTATTTCTTAGTATGAAATAAACCCACATTAATTTAACTGCATAGCAAAGCCTATTAAATAATAATAAGACTTTATTAATGCTATTCCTTTCACACACCTTTATATATTAGAGTTGTATAATATCTTATTTTGTGCGGTGCCTTATTTATATTGTATTTATAATTAATTTCATTCATCACTTGTTTACAGTTTTTATTTTGTAGGTAGTTAAATTTTATACTTATGTGGGCTATTTATATTGAATTTCTTGTATTATTTATTATTGTGCCTTGCATAAGCAAGCCAGCAACGCCCTCTCACAGCCCCATCTACTCCCATGTTAATTTCAGAGGAGGAATCTTGAAAGACGCTCGTTGAACCTCTTCTCTCTCAATCTCCCCAGGTCACATTTTTTAACTTTAACCACTGAAACTCGGCAGTGCTATAGTCAACAAAATGACGACGCCTACGGTGTTTTCGGTTTTCATTTCGGTCGTTCCTGGCCATGGGTTCGAGGGGATTCATTTTAAATGTTTCTGTCTCTCTGAGGAGTTAGAGACAGAGAGAGAGCGCGCGCAGCTGCTGTGGGCTCCCCTGATTGCCATGACAACCAAAGCCTGCTCACACACACACACACACACACACACACACACACACACACACACAGCTAGCTACAGAGAATGACAAGGCATTATTAAGCTAGCGCTAGCTGGCTAGCTAAAGATAATTAGCAGGTGGCTAACAAACAAACAATTTAAAGCTGAATGATTTTAATATTAACACAAAATAAGAACAGTACACCTTAAATATTTTACCCTACTATGAGCTGTTCCTTAATTTACATTAGCACTCCTTCAGGAGCATAATACAATTAAACACATTAACCAAAGCTAGCACTTAGCTAGCGATTAGCAGTTAGCTAGCGATTAGCACGTAGCTAGTGATTAGCGCTTAGCTAGCGATTAGCACGTAGCTAGTGATTAGCGCTTAGCTAGCGATTAGCACGTAGCTAAGCGCTAGCTTTGGTTAATGTGTTTATGTGTGCTAGCTCTAGCTAGCTAAAGAGAATCAGTAGGTAGAAGAAGGTATTAGAAGACTAGCTAATTAATTAAAATGCTTTGCTTGCTAGAGAGGATAAGCTACTAATGTGCTAGCACTACCTAGCTAGAGAGGACAAAGGATTACTTTGCTAATTAAACGTCACAAAAGACACTGAAATTCGTGGTTGTTAGTGGATCACGCGGACGCCGAATTAAACACAGGTGTCTCCCCTCATTGTACTGTAAACCACTCGGCAGTGTCAGTAATGTATGGGCCAGTGTCACGGGCCAGAGCAAGGCACAATCAAAATTGCTTTAGGAATTTTCTAGTTTCTAATTTATTATTTTCTTGTTAACTGTTTTGATTGCGCAACTTGTTTCTCTAAAAATAAAATAAAATGTCAAAGACAAAGCTATTCAGTTTCTTGCGTATGTATATGTATGTATATAACTGGCAGTGGAATTTATTGCGATGCACCTAAAATCTGGCCTAGGGCGCCAAATTGGTTAGAGCCGGGCCTGCATTGAATATAACATGAATGATCCATAAAATATGTCACTTGGTTTACTCAATGATAGAAAGGGGGTCCAAGCACAGATTGAGAGCATGTGTGCAATAGAAACATAGATACTTGGTGCAGTGTACTGATAGTGTTTGACAAGAAGTAGTACTGCAGTATCTCACCATATCAATGTTGTATCACAGAGACTCTTTGTAGTGAAGGGAAATAATAAAAAGAGTGCACAAGTTCCTCAGTGTAGATTGTCCTCTGTAATTAAAATAAGAAACAGCAGGTGGAGCCAGACACACACAGACAGACATCAGTGAATCAGTCATCACTGCTGTTATCATTGAACCAGGTCAGTGAACGCACCTCGGCCTCTGAGCGAGGACCAGTCAAACACAACAGAAACAGCAGCAGCAGCACAACACAGAGCATGCTGGGAAACTACTATTCTTTAATGTCACTGGCCACTTGGTCAAAGTGACAGATACATAATATTGATCATTATTACTGTAATAAAAATGATGTGCAGTCATACAGTAGTCGTAGTAAAGGTAGTAGCAGTAGAAGAGCATGTTATCAGAATCACAGCTGATCTATAAGACAACATTTTATTATCACATTCTGCTTTGTGACTAAATGAACACACAGACTGTTGCCTTCAGGGACCACTGAGATATTTAAGTATAAAATCAGCACAAAGTCACCGACCTGCTGCTCTTTACCCTCACAAGAGTCTCAGTTTCCCCCACAGTTAGCCACAGCTTCACTTCCACTCATAAAGGCAGTTCTTCCACCTCACAGCGGCTCACACTTTAAATTGAAACGGACTTTTTTAATCCAATGAGCTCCCTCGGTGCTTCATGTAAATGTGGACCCACACAGAGTGCTTTACTTTTTACTCAGCTAGTAACTGAAGCTACAGGAGGCTGTGTTTAAAATAGTTTGATGCTTGATTTACTAAATCAATCTGACGTTGTCATTGATGCTTAATACTTCAGTACTGGACAAAGGTGGAGTAACTTTACCTGTGATGCTGCAGTAAATCAATCACAGTTACAGGAACCCTGATCACCACTCTTTTAGATGCATTTCTTTGTTTCAAATTGAGGATCAAATACAAACCTCTTGAGCACAGCAGCTGTTTATCTCTTTATTGATTATGATCATGTTGATTCCATTTGTGTAACACCTCACATTTCCTCATTTGTACATAGACAACAACTACAAATGTCCTCTAGCAAATTGTAATGTTAAAATAATGTAATAAATGTAATTACAGATTTCTTTAGAAATGTACAAAATGATAAGAACAAACTATCTACAATAAAGGAAGGTCTGCTGCTTTAAATTTAAGGATCTATGCAGTGAAAGAGACACAACATACAAATACATCAACACAAATATAATATATATATATATATATATATTTAGAGAGCAGAGAAATGTCAGTTCAGGTAAACAAAAGCCATCATGAGCAGTGATAACCTCTATGGCTGAACAGACACAGGAAGGAGCGCCACCTAAAGAGACTCAAACATTTACAGTGTCAAAGTACCGCCCACAATGTTTGATTGACAGGTGATCTCTGTGCAGTGAAGAAACGCCACAACAATCAGCTCTCAGCAACAAACATCAAGACAAAATCAGTTTAAGGATTCAAACTCAGAGTTTAACACAAAGTCCCTGAAACGACTTCTGTCTATTTCAGTTTATAGAACTCAGCAGTGGATCCAAAATAAAGATAAAGTCCAGCATAGAGAGACTGAGTGAATGTGGTCTGGACTCTGTGGAGGAGAGTCATGGTTTCAGAGACGCTGTAGAAGGACAGAATACCTGCACTGTGATCCAGATACACTCCAACTCTGGAGGACTGAGGACCTGAGACAGGAGTTTGGACATTGTTGTACCAAAAGTTATAACTGTTATTGCCACAATATAATGACCAAGATTTGTTATTGAATCCAAATCCACATTCATATGAGCTCCCTGCTCTGCTGATATTCTTGTATGTGACTGCTATATAAACTTCTTCCCCTCTCCACTCCACCTCCCAGTAACAACGTCCAGTCAGACTCTCTCTACTCAGGACCTGAACCCAGTCAGTGAATCTGTCTGGGTGACTAGAATAAGACTGTTGTGGACCCATGAATGTTACTTTTCTGTTCCCCTCAGATAATAACAGCCATGTATTTGCTGTGTTTGGATCCAGTGTGAGTTCACGTGAATATTGTAAGAATCCAGCTCTGGTCTTGGGCTCTGGTTGTGACAGTAAAACATCCACTTCAGTCACTGTCAGTGAGACGTTTGTCCATTTGTCCCTCAGAACGTCCTGTAGTTTATCTCTGAGCTCTGACACAGCCGCTGTCACATCCTCAAAGTACCTCAGAGGACGGATATTGATGCTGGATGTAGATTCACTGAGTGCTGACAGTGAGGGGTAGTTGTGTAGAAACTGGGTGTGGTCCTCTGTGTGTGACAGCTTCTTCATCTCAGCGTCTTTCCTCTTCAGCTCAGTGATCTCCTGCTCCAGCTTCTCCTGAAGCTCTTTGACTCGACTCACTTCAGTTTCCTGCTGGGATCTGACCTGCTGCTTCACATCAGAGCTTCTTTTCTCCATGAGACGGATCAGCTGAGTGAAGATCTTCTCACTGTCCTCCACTGCTTTATCAGCAGAGTGATTGATAGCCTCCACCTGCCGTTGAAGCTCCTTCACATCTTTCTCCCTGTCCTGGATTCTCTGCTGGATGTTTTGTCGACTCACCTCGAGCTCTCTCTGCCTCTCAGTCCTTTCTGCTGCAGCTGAGACTGTGTCGTGGCCTTTATGTTCATCCACAGAGCAGAGATAACAGATACACTGCTGATCAGTACGACAGAACATCTTCATCACCTCATCATGACGAGAGCAGATGTTCTCCTGGAGCTTCTTGGAGGGGTCCACCAGCTTGTGTTTCTTAAAGGAAGGTGATTCATAATGAGGCTGGAGGTGTTTCTCACAGTAAGAAACCAGACAGACCAGACAGGACTTGAGGGCTTTCAGTTTTCTCCCAGTGCAGAAATCACAGGCCACATCTTCAGGTCCAGCATAGCAGAGATCAGCAGGAGCAGCTTGGAGTCCAGTCTTCTTCAGTTCCTCCAGTAAAGCTGCAAACATGGTGCTTTTTACCAGGACAGGCCTCGGTGTGAAGGTCTGCCTACACTGAGGGCAGCTGTGGATTTTCTTCTCATCCTCTCCATCCCAGTAGCTTTTAATACAGTTCATGCAGTAGCTGTGTCCACAGGGAGTAGTCACCGGATCCTTCAGTAGATCCAGACAGATGGAACAAGAGAAGGTTTCTTGGTCCAGCTGAACTCCTTTCTGCGCCATTTCACCTCTCAGTGACAACGACTGTCTGAGTTTCACTTCCTTATAAATGAGGCCGGGTTGAGCTCTGATCTCAACAACATGTGTCTCTGCAGTGAATGGGGCCTGTCAGCTCTTGCTCATGTTGGTTACACCCATCTACAAACTGTAGATCTGAAGGGGAGGGAACAAGGAAATACATGAACAGAGTGTAGCTCGCTGTGTTTGAATCAGGAAGAAGAGGGAGGGGTTATCGAGGGTTTAAAGTTCTGTTTTATTGTCATTATACAACACAGGATTGCACAATAACATGCAGTTGTAGTCCTCTCCACTCACACACTGAAAATGTCAAATTCAAATGGATAAAAACTGACTGGAAAGGAGTAAAAGATTCACTGTGTCTAACTTCTCTTCCTGTACAAAGAGGAAAAACAGCTCAAGATGGCAACATGAAGAAAAACATCCAAAAGTTACTCACTGATTATTAAATCATAAAACAACTATCAAAAGATTTCCAATGAATTTAAAGGAGTAAATATGTTATGTTATGTATTACACCAGAATACAATGAAAACAATACAATTAATGTTACATAATTACATTCATCCTGAGTTTTATATCGGAGGTGAGAAGATATTAAAGTCTGTTATTTACTTGCTAATTAAAGAAAATGTAAAGAACAAGATATTAGAATCAGAGTGAGTTTTATTATAAGAAGGTTTTCAATACAAGGAATTTGCCTTGTTATCTTTGTACATAATAAACATAAAGTGCTAAAAACTATAAATAAAGGAAACAAGGACTTCAAATCAAAAAGCACAAAAATAAAAATATTATAAAGAGAAAAATAAACAATATGTACAATATGACTGTTATATATATTTTTATTTTAGCTCTTTGGTTGTTTGAACTTCTTTAATGCAGGACGAGGCTGTTTATCAGAGGTTCTGTGAATATAGTTTGTGTTCAGGTCTTCAAAGTCAAATCAAACAAAAATGCTGAGATATGTCTACTGTATTTATTTTCTAAAGTTTTCTAACACCCCATAAAACCAAGAAGGCCTCCCGACCTACTAAATAACTAAAGAATACATAATACAGACAGAGAATTGTATAAAAAGTTCCCTAAAATATCAGGAAAACTGATCTCTGATCAATATTCAAAGGAAATAATCTGCTCAAACTTCATCCAAATCTCTGGTTTTACACAAACTTGCTGCAGTTATTGTGTTCACTGTTTGGGTTCATTGTTCAGTTTATCAGCTGTTCTCTGCTGTTATTGTTATTATTCAATATAATATGAAATATGTGTAACATATAGTTTACTCAGTGATAGAAAAGGTGTCCCTGAAGGATAAAGGCTGGGAGCCAGTGCCTTAGAGGAATGGAAACAACGAATCATTGTGAACTGAATGAACCTGTGTCTGCTGCTTATTGAACAATATGGATACAGGAAAGTGCAGTCCTCCATATATTCACATGTCAGTGTGACACCCGGCTCCTGAGCTGTGACAATAAATGGGAGATAAACGAGTTTATTACTAAAATATAATGCAAGTGCAATCCCACAGTGGAATGATGAGGTGTGTTGGTCAGTGGTATCAGTGTGTCAGCACATAAATGAGGGCGTTGTGAGGTGCAGAAACTGAACTAATGACACGGCCGAAGCCAACCAAACAGGAACATGGCTGGAGGAACGAGGGGTCCAGATCTTCAGAGCCCTTGGGAGACTGGCCAGGTGGTCCCAGTGCGCCGATGAACTCACACACAGACCTGCAAGACACCCAGCACACACACACACACACACACACACACACACACACACACACACACTGACTTTAACCAGTGATCCAGTTCACTAGAATATTCACTTCAAATGTCTCTTCTGTTCATTTTAAACAACATCAGTAAACATCCCAGTTTGTCACAGAACAAAAGCAACTGACCTGATGCTCCCCCCTTCAGCAACCTGGTACCCAGAGCCAGTCCTGACCTCCCTAGGGCCTTCAGCAACCTCTGCTAAGGGGCCCTCCTACCTGAGCCATAAGCCATGTAAACCATTTGCCACACAGTCACACCCACTGACAGCCCAGTGCTCCCACTGTCAGGTGGCCCTCACTGTGAGGTTTCACCTGCAGCTCCCCCCACTTGAAAAGGCAGCTTGCTTCAGAAGATTGGACTGGAATTCACTCAATGACCAAGATTCAGCTTTCTTTCTTTTATTTTGAAAGTTTCCAAGGCCAATAACAGGTGAAAAACCTTCAAATACAAACACAAATAGACCTTTAAGAAAATGTTACCCAGAAACCATAATCAATCACCATAACCCAAACTCAAAGACTTCATTTAAACTACTAGAAATTAATCTAGAAAATCAGTAGAAAATACCAACATTTAAAGCACCAAACTAAATTAAATCCATTTTAAAGCACTGTTCAATGATGATTTTAACCCAACGATCTGTAGCAGCTTTTACCTCTTTTAACCCTTGAGGCACCTTGGGGTACCAAACGTGTACACTGTGCCTTTTTGACTTGTTTGATTCTCAAAATATCGGTCAGTTTAAAGGCTTATTGTATGAAACTTGGCAAGGATTTGTTTTTTATTATTATTCTTAAAATTCAATGATCCCCTCTATTGTAAGGTGTACAGGATAGGAGATTCGACCCTATACCTACAACCTTTCACCTCGGGCCCAACTTGGACACATTGACTCCCATTATAACCACATATTTTTGATATACTGTAATGTTGACATATTATAATGCTTTTCCCATGAATACCTAATAAATCTAAGCCACTACCTTCAAAATACAGGGAAAACAGGTTTTAGGTCTGATGACCCCCCCCCAAAAAAAAAACCTTGCCATGCTTGGTATAGGCTGTTTATGCAGGTGCATGTTAGAAGTGTGTGAGAATAGTTGGAATGGTAAATGGTAAATGGATCTGTACTTGTATAAAACCTTTCTAGTCTTCAGACCACTCAATGCGCTTTTACCCTCCTGAGACCTGAGCTTTTGTTTGGGGTGCATTTTCAATTTCTCCTAGCTATTTAGGATTAGTAGGACCTGATAGATGTAAAAACAAGCATTGTTTCTGAACAATTTGTAGTTTTCACAAAAAATTGTGTCCTCCTATGAGGAAATCATGACTTTTTTTTATTATAAAACTATGTCCCCATATGAGGATGCAGGGTTGCAGGAGGCTATACTACAGCCAGGTTCCTGCCAGTGCCCTGCAGCTCAGTGGAGGAAGAGGAGGAATTAGAGTTAGAGGCAATGGAGGATGACGCCGCTCCATGGAGACCAAAAAAATTGGGTAATCTTATGGTCCCCCACACATGGAGAGTCCCTGCCATTTACCTTCTGCAGCCAGCCTAGTCCTACAAGCCCAAAGCCAGGTCCATGGTCAGGAGGAGGAAGAGGAGGAAGAGGAGGAAAAGGAGCCACAGCCAGGGCCCTCCAGAAAGCAGAGGCAGTGTGTCTTGTGCCCACAGTGCAGAAGGGTTTGGACAAAAGTGCACCAAATGTGGAGCACATGCATGTAAAATGTACCTCAAATCAGTGGTTTATGCCTTGAATTGTGAACACACGCAAACGACAATACACGTCATCTTATGACAAAAAGGGCATGAAAACATAACAAATAGTAAACAATTGTAAAAACTCTATCTATGGTTAGGTCTGAAGTTGTTGAAAAGAGTTGAAG